TGGATAACGTACATCGCTCGACCCTTTTCAATTTTTATTTTTCAACGTTAACGCGTTACCTCGTTCTTATATTTATCTGCCTCGGTGATTGGTCGATGATATGGAAAACCCTGTGCATGTGTTCTTCGTAGTGTATATACAAGTAGTAATTAGAAAAAAATATTCATTAATTGAAGATCAAATCCTTGTAATTGGCTAGCAAGTAGTAGTTGGACACTCTGCAGCACGTCGACGTTCGGACGACAGTTGTTCTGTCGGCTCGTTCGAAATTCGCTTTAACGATTTCGTAGTACCTTCCATCGCTGGAACATATCGAACTGACGATGGTACGCGACAGTTATCCCTTCGGTTCGAACATCAAATCGTAAACTTACCTCAAACTCAGGCATCGTAATTTGATGCACTTGACGCGGAGTATGTCTATAGCTTTTTGACTCTTGTCCGAGAATCGTAAATTCTCCGGATCCCAACGTAACTCCAGTCGCTCCAAGTTTGGACAGTTATTCGCGATCCCGTCCATCAGCTGATCCACGTGAATGTTTACGCCTAGTCTCTCTTGTGTTCCCATCACGAGAATCCTGGAAATATTTGTTCGAAATTGTTTCTTTTTTTTCTTTTATAAAGCTCGAATAACGTCGATCGACAAATGCCTTACTTGGCGTTGGTTAATATCGGCAATATACTCTGCCAAAGTTGATCGGTGATATGTGGCATGCCGGACAGAGCGAGTCCCCACAACTGATGGCCGTATCTCGATAGAAATTTGTGTAGACCGTCGTCGGTTAAGTTATCGGAACTGTCCAAGTCTAAAGCGATCAAGTTTCGAGGATTGCCGAGTTCGGCCCAGGCTTTCAGCACGCTGTCGTTGAAACCGTTCAGCTGACCAGCGCTCAGGAAACGAAGTCCTGGAATCCTAGACAGCATATCGATCAGACACTCCGTAGACAAGTCCGTTGCGGTAACGTCCAGCTCCTGAATGCTCGACTTTTCCCACTCCACTTGCATCACGTACTCGCTTTGAAGATCTGCAACAAGTTTCGCGATACGTCTTCGATGATTCGTATAAAAGAAAGTCGAGTTATGTCGCGGTAAGCGTAAGTACTTGTTCCTTGCATAAGGAGACATTTCAGTCTTCTGCTTCTTTGGAAGAGGGTCTTCATCGTCGAGCCGGTGACCTTGGAGCAGAAATTCACGGCCAAACACTCGAGCTGGATACAGTTCGAGGAGAACGCGTCGATGTGCGAGTCGTCTACGAAGTTGATCCCGTACAGATTGATCACCCTTAAATTAGGAGTGGCCGATTTTAGTTTGTGAACGTTTATAACTTCGTAGATCTCTTCCTCTTCCTCCTCCACCTTTTCGTACGTCCCTGCGCGATAATCACGTCTGATCAATAGCATATTTCGCTGGTCTATCCCTCTATCGATAGATGGTTAGATATAGGATGCAAGAATTTAACTAGATATTTAAGTAGTTGCGAACCTATGAGATGAAGGATCTCTAAACCGTTGATGAAGTTGTAAATTTTTCTCATGAAACCCTCCATGAAAATCACCTCCGATAGACAGATGCACATGTACTTCAACTTGGTGGGAAAGGCCTGCATTTCCGAGAAATCGTGCAGCTGCATGGCGGTGGAGAAGTCGAGAAGCATGTGGGTGAGATTCGGACACTTGTTCGCCAGTTCGTGAAGAACGGTGTGGGTGATTAATTCGATCGGCAACTCGATGTACCTCAGCGACGCGCCGAACCGTGTACTGTTACACACACACACAGAGACACACGCAACCGATCTATCCGTTATTATTTTTTCGTTTCTTTTACAGAAATGGTATAGACTTTAAAATGCGCGAAAATTATCTCCATTTTTTTACGTTATCCTAAACGTTCGTCAGTGTTTACAAATTATTTTGGCAAGTAGGACGCCTCGGAGACGTATTTCGGGAACGAGCGTCAACTGCCAAAATTCTTTGCATTTTTCTCGCCCGTGAAAGTGTTCGTCTACCTGATCAAGTGCAGCAGATTGTCCAAGGAGCTGACGTGTAAACCGCTAATCTCCGGGCGCAGAGATACGTGTTTCCATAGGCGCGTGTCGTAAGCGATCTGCCGCCACCTTTTGCAAACACGTGCCACCCTGCATATTTCACGGTGGGAGAGGTAGCTGAAGGCGTTCAGAATCACCTTGTCCGGAAGCTTCTCTATAGTCTGGAAAAGTGAAAAAGCACCGGTCGTTCAAACGTTCGCGCCGGAAACGTCGAGAATCCTATAGACTCGACCGAAGTCTCGACGTTCTCGCGATTTTTCCAAACTTCTCGAATACGTCTCGATCACTTACTGTTCCTGCGAAACGACTCTTAATCACACCACCTTCGGAAACGAACATCTGGGACGTCTCCACAGCGATCTGACCCCAGACATCAACACCCCCGAGATCCATCTTGTTGGTTTATCGAAACGAATTCGAAACGCGACGATTTTTTTTTTTTTTTACACGGATAATGCCGAAGGGCGTACTTGGATGGGTTTAGGCTCGATCGAATTCTATTTACGACGAGATTTTAAGATCTCGGAAATCGATTTATCGGATGAACTCGCGATTCGACGTGGCGTGGGCAACTCGAACGTTGCACCATGGAGAAAGTATTCCGATTCCCGCCGATAGGAAATGGAGAATATTTACGTGTTCGCGATGGATGGAGACGGTTTGCGAAAATCGCGGCACACGGTGGAACTCGGAGAACCAGAAGTTCTAAGTCTTCGCAGCATGTCCAATCGGATCGCGCTTGCGCGTCGTCCTAAATATAAGACTTGGAAGGTCCGTCTCGGCTTTAATTTTAAACTCGACACCCGCAGCCAAGGTTCGTTCCCTCGTGTTTCCCGTGAAACGTCAAACTCGGGATGAGCTTCTGTTGAACTTACGGATTTTTCGAGCGTCTCTTTCGAACACCGTTGACGCTTACACATTTTATTCGAACTTCCACGTGCTAACATTGACAGAAAGATGTATGAAAAAGTTTCTTCAAATAATTGTAAGATTTGTCTGTGAACGTTCAATGTATGGAAACGTGTACGTTTATGGTACATAAAAAAACGACAGAGTTAGTAAGGGGGAACTGCCCACCCACTCTTGTTACTTTCTCGATGGATCGTAAACTTTTGAAAAATCTGCCAAGACGTCCCGGTTGATCGATGACTTGGAACTTGTCCGACACGAGACCGACAACGAAACAAATTCATGCACGTGGTAATGAAAGGCGATATGTCACAGTGTAATAAAAAGTCTCTCTTCGAGGCAACAAACTTTCGATTTTTCTTTGAAACTTGGTTCAAACATTTCTAAAATACCGTATAGAATATTTGTCGATCGATCGACGATAAAGTTGCTACGAGATACAAAGGGTTCGAGTGTTTCGATCGATTAACGAAACAAACAGTAGAAGCAGCATCCGTCTGGTGTTTAATCGCTTTGCAAACTTAGTATTCAAGCAACATGCGCACTGTGTAATATTTGCCCCTACAGCATTGGTTTCTATTAAGAAAAATCACGTGTTACATATTTTGACAGCATACATCGTCGCAGAGATCAATAACACGCGCGCTTAAAAGGCTTCCTGAAGTGCCAATCGGATTGCGTATTACGATCGAACATTTGTATTGGTCGCGATTACACAATACAGAAGTAAATGTTGTTATCGCGATTAAAAAATCTATTTCGGAGTTAACAAACGACCGCCCTTAACGAAGTTCGACTATTCGCTGTCTTAGTTCGATAAACCATTTACCGCAGTCGATACAATTCTGTATCGATGAACATGAATACCGAGATCCTCCCTGGAAATAGCGCTCGTGGCATGCTCCACGTTCAATTGGTGCCAGGTGCTCATCATCGTGTACGGTTTATCCGGCAGCTCGCAGTCGATCCAAACACAGTACACTGCACGCTAACGAAATAACGTCGCGATGTATAAAAATCACAATGTCCGATGTCCTGTTCCCATTTTGAACTTTTCGCACTTTAGTGAATCACGAGGGCGTGGGTTAGAACCGAGTCCAACTTGTCAGAACGTTGCTGGTTGACTGAACCTTACCAGGATACACTTCGAACCGAGTCTAGCTTAATTAGTTATAAATACGGACGAGCAGTCAGTCAGTTAGGCAAGCAGACGAGATAAGAATAGGCGACGCTAATCTAAAAAAGAAGTCTACTTTCGGGACATGGGTATTTCGTGTTACTTTCTTTCGTTCCCTTTAGAATTCTAGAATTACTGTTTAAGGAGGGAATAGAAATCATTTCTGTCCGAGTCCTTTACCGTGTTCGGTCGTCTTATCGTCTCGCCGTTGTCATCTTCGAAATTATTGCGCTGTTGAAGAGCCACCTCCACGTTTAGGACGTTCCAATTGGACATTCTTCGCACATCCATGACGGAAATACAACGATCGATCAAGAAGAGATTCGAGCATTAGAATGTTAAAAGTTAAAGGAAATCTTTGCTTTATGTAAACTAGGAAACATTGTTGTACATCCGTTGATGAACCGCACTCTACATGTCGCACTATTTGTTCTATTCAAACGAATGAATAATTCTAAATACACTTTCGCGATGACACCGATACAGTTCAGTCACACGATAGCTCTCAGACAAGAAGAATGCAATCGTGCGACAAGATTTCACGGAAATGCACGATTGAGAACCGTGCACGATCTATAGCGTAAGGCGAAGATCGAGATTGCGTACGCTCTTCGTTTTCGTTTTCCTTACGAGAATGATTCAATTTTTCTAGCGAAAAGATCTTTCTCGGCGTATATTTTTTTCGCGAGCTCTTTTCTATCCGGTATTGTCCGCCGGTTTATTCAAAGCGTATGCAATCCTCGACGTTGCCGAAAATCGACCTACTCGGTCATCGTGATGTTCTTGTGCTAAGCAACCTGTGTTCTGGTTCGGAGGTAAAAAATGTAACTGAAATAATCTTAACTTTCTGTCGTTTCCTAAAATAGATTCGCTGGAGTGCTCCGCTACGCAAGGATGCACAGCCAACAGAGGGCCGTCATGTTACGTTGCGGGACTTTTCGAAAATTCTATCGCAAAAAAAACGACGAAAGTTATAAAAATCGACTTGCCGTACCATTTGATACTCGTAATACATAGCAGTTTTGTTCAGCGCTCAACAGCGTGGACTAAAACATCTGGATGAATTAATTTGAAGAGAAAGTATTTTCACGGAAATATAAGTTTAATCAATGGAAATACCTAAATAGGCACGATATGACTCCGAATGGACTATTGGGATTATGCGAAATAAGTTTTAGATCGAGAACAATTTTTTTGCGATTTTTATTTTCTACGTTAAGCAGTAAAAACATTGAACGTATGACAAGTGCCGCGTACGCCTGACAGTTGTTGAATATCCTTTTGATTGCAGGCCAAATAGGTACCATTTGGCTCAGCGCCATTAGCAATTTGATTAATTAAGGCCACACATAATGCTGATACAGCGGCGGCGCCTTACAGAATCTTGTACAACGTAAATATATTGTATACGCGTTGTTTACGACTACAGGACCAATTTGTTAAACTTTTTTTTTCGTCGAGGCAATCTTAAAGCAACGTATTCGGGACTTGTATGTATTTATAAAATGGAAATCTATAATATTTAGTACAGAATTTTTATTTCAGTAAATTCATGAAAATTATTACAAAAAGTATGTATACGATCGATACAGATGTGTATACATTTAAGAATTTACATTAAAGATGGCGCTGTGAGTTCACCTTACCAACCGGTGATGTCCAAACCTAAAATTTCAAGTTCTCAAACATGTTTCTATCGGTAAAAAAGTTTTTCTGTTTAATTTATATTTTAACGCCGATTTTTTGAATATGTGTAAAGTAATATAATATACGTCCAAGTCAGAGACTTTATTGGCCGTTTATAACGACTATTACTACCTATGTTCGCTACTATATGTTACATTGGATTGAAAACTCAGTTTCCGTTCGATCTAGTCTTCATACATTGCAACAACAATTGTAATATCTAATATGTTATCATACCGGTTCATTGTTTCCGCTCTTTGCCATCAGCAACTGTTATTCTCCGTCGGTTGTTATCTAAGTAAGTAAAAGAATACGTCGATCATCAAAATGGCGTCCACGGAAACCAGCATTTCACAATGTTATGGTAACAGACTTACCGACGATGTTTACGTTCTTTTCTAATCGCGTTGCGATTTATGCTAGTGGTATTTATAATTTTAATCAAAAGCGCATGTCATTGCAGTGTCCTACAGTTGCGCAGAAATTAATTATTTTTCAAACCGAAGAACGCAGAACGATCACAAATTTCAATCTTTATAACGATCAAAATGATTAAATCAAACAATTATCTCTGTGATTTCCAATCATTTTACTGTTAAAATTGGGCAGCGTTAATTGCCATTTTATCTCTACGACAGCGTCATCAGAGATACTGTCGGATTATGTTTAAAAGTGCGGTGATAAAAATGCTAAATATCTGCGCAAAGAAAGACGGTTATCGTTGGCAACTATTTCATAAAATATATTCAAATATAAAATTAAAACTAATCGTTTACGACTTGAGACGAATATTTTTCATAGCTTCGAAAATATTAAATATTCTGTCCAACAACATTATATATGTATTTAAAATTCAGATATAATCCTCCATTTAATTGGCAAATAATTGCGATTACTTGCAAGGAAGTACAGCAGCGCCCCTATTGATTTTGTTACTCAACAACAAGAGGTGAATTTTTATCTTCTTCACTTTTCCAAATACAGGCTTTATCCACTCTCTAAGAAAAATAATTTATATTTATAATACACTTGAAATTCATTACCGTTGTCTTTTTTTTTCTCTCCCTTGTCTCTGTTTCGAACTTCCATTTATTGTCTCTCTTCTTCGTGGAATGGTTACGCACTCATTCTCTTTCTTGCACGCGCACCCGCCTAGCGTAGCGTTTCGGTAGCTATAAAAGGGGCCGCCTTGGTCGTAATGCGCATTATACGTTGCGTCGGTGTGGTGAGTGAATGAGCTTGCGCATTATTTTTTAACCGACAAAAGTAAAGTAACAGGAGGAGATAATTAACAACAGTGCGATTCTGTCTATCGATTCGTGCGTTTCACTTGGGATCCATACGAAAGTACGTACAATCTAGTACGAGACGAACATAACCAAGAAAATTAAGAGAAGTCAAGGAGACGTAACGCCGCGAGGTGCGTTTCGTTGTGTGCGCCGTTGTGTAATCGTGTTTATTATTTCTGGCGGTAAAAGTGGCCACTTCGATTCATCTGTGGTCAAACTTGGATCGAATTAAGAACGATTACTGAAGAAATACAGGTGGCAGAGAATCTAACGGAGGTTACAGTACGTACTCGGTTGACATTTAACCATCACTTTCCATTGTGCCCTTATTTCGATGGAATGATATACCATCGCGTCGAAGACGAATCGAATGATCAGAGAAAGAAGTCACGCGGCGAAAAGCAAGAACAAGACTAGAGAAGCCAACGAGAGTGAACGAAAGAGATCTCTCAAGGAGTAGGACGCATAGTCTGACGACCGTCATCGTGTATTTATCGTCGTAGGTTTGATCACGGTTCTCTTGTCCCCGCATTGCGGCGATATGAAATAACAAGAGGCTTGATTTGATAGACAAAACCGGCGGCAGTAGAGGCGACGACCGCCTGATTCGTAGCGTCCGTACTCAGTCCTCAGTGTAGGCTAGTCGGTCGCTCAGTAGTTGTTCCGACGATTTTTTCCAAATATTTTTTCATCTACCAGTCTTTCTTCGAACAAAAACATTCACATATCTCGAAAGACAATTAGTACGCGAAAGTTGTTATTGAATTGGTGAACGATATACCCGAGAATAGTTCGAGGCTGTACTCGCACGCGGAGAGGTTATCTTCGTGTAAACAGATCGCGCGCGAAGAAATATAGCATCGGTGCACGTTAAATATTAACAATTTTCATCGTTTGTCGATAACGATAAATAAATCAGAGAAAGCGTAATCGTCGAGGGAGACACAGAAATCTGGGAGACGTTAAGTTATTTCGAAAGATTTTGACCAGTAAAGTGATCTACGTACAAAACGCACAAACATGGCGGCTAATATGAGCATGGAGAATTGCACTGACAACGCTGGATATTTTTATGAAATTGTTACGGAGGATATGTGGACGTCTTGGGATGCCACGATGGAATATTTCCAGTACACCCCGTGGCTGTTTTCCCTGCTAGGCAGCACCGTGATCGGACTAACCGGCATCTTCCCTCTTTGGATCATCCCTATTGGAGAAGGTGTCGATTTAAAAACAGGAGGTAATAATACATTTGTTTAATCTTAAAGTTAACTTAAAGTTGCCACTTAAAGATCTCCCTTGTTATCGTGTTGTGTTTCTTATCAGCTTATACAGTATAGTATTTTTAGCTTGGAGAGATTCCTTACCTCGCGAAGGGAGGTTATGTGTATATTTTCACCATTGAGCTCTATCCTAACTGGAGTGTTAACTGCGAGAGAGAAGCCGGTCGGAGAAAGATGCAAGATGAGTGGTTCCGGTGGTATTATCCTATAGCAAATGTATGTGTGGAGAGAGAACAGACTCCTCTTTGTTTGAATTTCGCGGCACTCTAGGAATTATTTACAGATTAATTATGTACAGATTTGAACTTTATTTCAACATTTATATTAATGACATAATAATGAAATAGTATACATAATTTACATACCAGAATTTAGATCATACAAATATATACAATTTGGTATAGAGCTAAATTTTATTATTTTTCACAATTCAATTTATATCGTATTTATTCATATTTATGCGGAAAAGAATCTGAAAGTAACTCACTCGACAATGCTCAGCGATGCTCGGGTAGGTTATGTTACGACGTACGTTTGTTCCCCCTCTACAAATAAATTTGCTATAGAATAATACCGGAACCACCCATTTTGCATTTCTCTCGGACCTCCGTCGCCTCTACTTCTTCCTACAGGAGTTCACACTCCAGTTAGGATAGAGCTCAATGATTTTCACGCGCACGCGGGAAATAGTTACGATAGTTTAAAACAGGATAATCGGTTCTTTCTTGTTTTTATAGTTTTTATAGTTTTCAATCGCGTATTCATCAAAAATTTACATTTCAATGGACTTGCGTAATATTTACGTTGACATTTCAGTTTAAATACCGTGCCGATAGAAGTCTTGTGTAATAGAATAGCATTCTGTACCGTGATTTCACTAGAAATCGCGGGTAAACCGAATCTGTCATTTTCGTAGTGCAAAAAAACACCACGGCTATTGCATACTTGTGCAATGTAGTTGTTACAGCCTGGAGCGAGTAACAACTTTGAGAGAATTACTGTATTTTACCTTTTTCGTTAGCAATACAAAAAAAAAAATGGAAGGAGAGACCTTGAAATGTATTAATGAATAAATTTGCGGTTACAAAATATCCGTCGCGATAAGAACAATTTTTCTCTCGAAACAAGTTCCATTGTCGTATGTTTTTTTCATATCGTGATAAATAAACGAGATAGTAGAATTGTTCGATTGACTCGAAATTGGAGTCGACTAAGACTTTTTTTTTAGCCTCGAAAATTGGTACGCGGTAATTTGTCATACTTCTCGAATAACTATCGGTGCTAAGTCGAGATAAAAATAATGGTGCGTTGTAAATACCGGGTAGTATGCTTAAACAGAAATGCATTCGACCACGTGGAAAGGTTGTGCTGCGCATATTGTTTACTGCGTCGCTATCTACCACAGCGTGCCAACATCTTCCCCGTAAGGATATTCTCGTCTTCTATCGAGAAATATTACGCGTCGTGTCAGGATTGCGTACGTCGTTCGTCGAGAGAGACCATCTTCGCCGTATCATTTGGCTGCATCACCCTTCCGCTGTTCTCGTTTCTTTTGCGAAGTCTGCTGCGCTGCTAACACGCAAAGTTGTTACCACGCCAATGCGAGCGAACAAGGTCGTGGAACTTGCTCTCCGTGGAACGCGTTGCAACAATGGAATTCATGGACGAACAAAAGGAAACACACATGCTGCTTTTTATAATATCGGGGTCACCGGAGGTTGAACACGTTAGAGCAAGTCCACGAGCTCTATGTCACAAAATTTTACCAAATTAATACAATCGAATTGAAAACAGTGTTGGACGTTCGTGCTCGTCGATACTATGTCGCGGTACGTGAAATCTCCAAGGTCGATTGGGCTAATTGAACGCAATGGAGAATACGAATGGAACGTCTGATACCTTCGTCAGAGGAATGTACATATGCGTGTAACATAATTTCAACGAGAACGGGAATGAACCGTGGATCATTTGCTCGACCGTTATTATTGTTTTCAGTTTATTGATTCTTTGTACGGAAACGGGTTTCCCGTTTTACGCAAGGATTAGGCACAGTTGTTGTCAAACCGAACTCCATACCAAACTTTGATATTTGTTATCGCGTCGCTTGCGGTTTCGTTAATTCTTGTGCAATATGCAGGTGACTTTATTCGGGAGATAAGACGCTGACTTTGAAAGTGTTTAATCTTTAGACGAGCTACGCATCGGCTTACCATTGTGTGCAACGTATGGCAATCTGAAATCGTAGACTAGTAATTTGTGATCTTACAGAACTTTTGCTTATGCATTAATCATGGTTACCGATTACTTAGTAATCGTAACGATAAATCATATTTTGCCCGATTCTATCGTTGAGCCAATTTAGGCACGACGGATAGCGCGGACGAAGCTATTTAAATGGAAAATTGTATTCGAAGCACGGCAACTGAATCCGCTTTGAAACGCCTCTGCGTACTTCGACTAATTCCCTTAATCCCGGGCAATTTTCATTTTCATTTTCATTTTCATTTTCATTTTCATTTTCATTTTCATTTTCATTTTCATTTTCATTTTCATTTTTTTTTTTCTTTTTTAACATTTAAAAGGTTTTTTGCTTGATTGTCGTTGAATCATTATTTCGTATTTTTGAAATTAACCGATGAAAGGCGATGTCCCGGGAAAAATTCCGGGACTCGTCGCACTTGTGGTGTGCTAAATTACGGTTCTGCTGGTCTATCGCATCACCGACTGTTCTGGACTGAATCCATTATCAACCTCGTTCTCTCGGTGTTCCGTCCATGAGCATCATCACGGAGATGCATTCTCCATTTCTATTTCGCTCGATTCGATCGCGTTACGTGTAAGTAAATTGGACTTTAACTTGCCGTTTGTAATCCGACAGTGCCAGCTGCACCGAAACACGCGTATAAACGGTTTCTCTAAATGCATTCGTACACGCTAACCTATCGGTTTTCTATTTTAACGTCGAATGACGCTCAAAAACATTTCGAAGCTGGCCTACGTACGAAGACGTTCGTTTTTACATTCGACGATAGGGAAAAATATGAGCGTTATCGTCGTTATTATCTTCCAACATATAATTAAATCGCGATTATCTCGATATGTAACTTGAACGAATAGAGATTAGAGATGCTTTCTTATTAAAAAGGAACGAAACAATGGAGATCGATATTATATCAATCTATCTCGATATGGTATCGAATTTTTCGATAAAATCGAACCGGCATGTTGTTTGTTCGGTTACTATCTTTTTTTTTTCTGGATTGCGCAATTCCTGGTAACATGTTGAGCGTTGCATTCGATGTATTTTTGGAAAGTGATTAGCATTAAAATTGTATGAAAGTTAACAAATATTGCGATAGTCGCAAAAATATCCCCGATTGGGAATCACGGCGAGTTTTTATCGATTCGAGGTATGCAAAGACAACGCCAATTGCGGTTAATTATAGATTCGATTCCAAGATATCGTTTCTTGCAATAGTGGTACGATGTTTCGTCATGAAGGAAATAATAAAAGAACAAAGCATGATCTAGGCTCATGTTAATGGTTCGTAGGATTCCGCACAGGGTAGGGATTGGCTAAACACGTTGATTAGCGAGGTAACGGGGCGCCGTGTTCGATCCAGAAGCAAAAATTGACTCGTTTCGCTTGATGCAACTTGAGAGCTCGTTGACGAAGATAACACGGACTTATCATTGGTCATGCGGCACGAGATACGCTCGTTTCCTCGATGCAACTGTTTAGAAACGCAGTATCCGCAGAATACGTCCAACTGTGTTTCACAAGTCTGTTACATATTCTATTTCTATTTATTTTTTGGATTAGATTGTCAAGCAACCTTAACCTTATTCGTACAATCTCGCCGTTTTACTTCGCATACATTTTATTCTTGCTTAATTGTCAATGCGCGAAATCAGATCGGTATGCAATCAACGTTTGTTCCGAGCGAGATGATTGGACGCTGACACGAAACTAAAACGAACGTTACTCCATCGGTTGATGACAAGATACAGGGTTCAAGCAACTGTCGTTATTGCTGCGGTTTATGTCGTTGATGTTTGTTCGTTGTATTGTATAAATAGTGTCCGACTCGTGAAATAATCGTTAAAGATTACACGAGTTGCGCATCATGGAAAACAGTTCGCGTAACTTAATAGCCGTCTGGCATTTTGCGATTGTAAATGAAACGGCGAAATGGTTTTTCCGTTGCTGTTAATATTTATCGGCGATGTTTCATCGTCGATTTGATTACCAACTGCTTATTGTTCTCGTGGTAGAATCTCTGCGTTGCACCTGTTTCCTCGATACGCGATACTTGTAACGGAGTATAATTACGTGCTATACACTCGGAATTTTGTCGTCTCTGTCGTAAATAAATAGTTTTAGTTACATCGAGTTTGTAACGTGTGCAACGCTTAAACTTGACCCGTTTCGCAAGAATGCAACATTTATTGATGTGACATCGATTGCGAGAGGTCGGTGCAAGGTTCGTGCAGCCGAAGAGGAAATTTATGAAAGACGAATAAACGCATCGTCCCGTAGTAAATATCTCGATACTCGAATTAAATAAATTTGCAGGGACGAGACGTTAAAAATAGAGCGATATCGTTTTTATTAACCTCCGACTGGCAGACGTTCCGAGATAAATCCGTTTATTATTCCATATATCGGCAGTGTAAATGACACGAATTAGTCGATCGAATAATTTTCTTGTTATAGTTTCGAGATTTAACGATATTCGAAAAGGGATCAAGTCTACAACGTAAACGGACGAAATGACTAATCGTGAAAATATTTTATTCTCTTTTTCAGTATACTATTTAACGAACGGAAATGTCTTGAACGACTCTCACGAGGAAATCGCCGCGCGCAACTGCTCTGTTTCTTTTAATTTCCCTGGATGTTATTGGAAGCCGAGGAAAATATTCGTAGACCGTTGATACGTTGACAGTATAACATATTTCAACGGTAGCTCCTTAATTGTCGATACATGACGCGAAGTAAATTAAATTGAACGCTCGTGGAATTCAAATTGAATCTCTTTTTCTAGGTACAGTTTTAAATATAAATATGTACTAAGTTGTTCGGTGGAGAGAGGACGAATCTATCCTTTAATCGCTAAGTAAGGCGGAAATCGGACTTAGCTTTAAATTGACCTTAGAACTGGAAAGTGCGCTATGCCATGTAATGCGTACAGATTCCGACTGTTCGCCGGAAGATGTTAGTGACTAAGGGTGAGTAACAGCATACGGAAAGCTGGTCCCCCGATACTGTGCGATGGTAAATCATTCGAGAAGTAGAGAAGCCTCGAAGCACTCAATAATATCTGTTTTACAAGAGGTGGCTCAAGAACCGTCGAGCCACTATGTTTCTTCTCGTTGACACCACGAACTCCATCTTCCATTCGATTTTTCCATTCGACTACCATTATTTAATCGATAAGGGAAACATGTTCCAGGCGAATGTTCAGTTTCTTTAATTCTTCGGGTTACGAAATACGACTCGAGTGCTGGCTAAAGATATCGGCGTGACTCGATCGTTCTTTAACGTGGCCAGTGATCCTTGCGCTCGAAGAACTCAACCAACAGTGAAATTGTTAGCGTCGCGCTACACGACTTTAAATTTATCGACGCGTGGGAGAACCCTATTATCCGTGTCGATATTTTTTTTTTTTTTTATTGTCGAGAATATTCGCATGAGCGAATAATGCCATTTGAAGTAGTCGATCATCTCTTTGGCATCGTACAGATTATACCGACTCGATAATTCAAACTGGGAATCCTGGGTAATTGCTTACAATAACCGATTTATGATTTTGTTGCAGACGGTGCTGGCACGCTGAAAGTATTATTGAGCTTCGCAGTTGGGGGCCTGTTGGGCGATGTTTTTCTGCATTTACTACCGGAAGCATGGGGAAACAGCTCGCTGAACAAAGGTACGGAAACCTCGGCAATGAGAATCTTGTTGACAATTTCGTCGGGCGGTAATAAGGTGTTAGAATCGGCGGTTTATCCTCGTTTACAATCATGTAATGCAAACTGTTAACGGAAATCTTTTGCAATTAGTCGAAGCATGACTGAGACAGATACGAGGATGAATCAGATGCGTTTCCGCGGGAATGAACTTTGAGGGAAATTCCACCCATTTGTTTTCCTCGTTTGAAATTCTCGGAAAATTTCTCAAGTTATCGGACATTGTACGCGGGAATTTCGAAGCAACAATTCGTCGACCAAGGTTTATCGAACGCTTGCAAACACACGGAAGGTTAAAGTATCGATCTTAAACTTTTGAACGTTGAGTGTGTAAATCACATCGTTTAGAATGCCTGAGGACTTGTAATAAGTTTATATTTCAATGACAAAACAATTGGGTAACTGGTGTAAATAACGAAATGCGAATTGTGACCTTGAAAACAAGCAGTGTTTAAACACTATTGTTTAAACAGTCGATGAATCATCGTTTATCGCGCAACGTTTCGACAGGAGAAACCATCTCGGGGAAAACCACGGGTCAAAGATCACGGTTTCCTCCCCTATCGGTGTCGCATAGATCACCGTTTCTCACAGCAAGATATCCGCAGGCTCCTGGGAATCCACGCTGTGGACGCGGTTACACCGGGCAAACATCGACACGATCGAACTCCTTTTTGATCGAATTCTATGTATCTAAATTGCCTATCATTTGAGCCAGACGGCAATTCGTGGTATTAGATCTATGCTAAGCGAGACTTGAAGCGATCGTCTACCTTCGTCGTGCGCTTTGTGAACGGCCAAGCGACGGACGCAAACCCCTATTGTGCTTCAGTTGCCGATTTCAATTGGTCGCTGTCCTCTCCTAAATTAAACCGACTCGATCCTAGTCCACATACGATTTCCGAGTCACCCCTCCCACAGTCGAATCGTTCATTGCCTCGGAAACAGCTGTCGGAGCGATTCGAACTTCGTCGAAGTACGGATAATAATCGTAACAATGTAAAATTGAATTATTTCAGTTACGGACAGCGGTCATCCGTCGATGGCGTGCGGTTTCTGGGTGCTCGGTGGTTTTTTAGTATTCGTCATAGTAGAGAAACTCTTCAACATCGAGAGGGAATCCGAAGCCGAGGACGAGTCTGCGTTAACGGATGAGCGGGACGATAGCGAAAACACAGGCATGGAAACGGAGAAAGAAATGGAGAATAACAATTGCATTACATTAATTGGGAGCAAACCACAGAACGGGTTTTCGAAACGTTACACCGACACGGATTTGTCCAATGTCATCAACGAGGTAATTTATACATTCCAGAAACGAAGTATCATAAAAATCTTTCGCGTGCCAACTATTTATACGGCGAAATATTTTTGTCGATTTAGACCTTTTTGGAGAAGCAGAACGGATACTCCCGACTACCGAACGGTTACAAAGATGCACGTAACAAGAACTGTTTCGTCGATAATGGCATCAAGCAACTGATCTGCAACGAATTCACAAATAGCCATGGAGGCCTGTCGATAGACGAAGCGAAAAATTGCTTGAAGAACCGATCGAAAGTGAACGGGTTCTCCGACGAATTGTCGAGCGCGACTGATATTACCGCTAATAAAAGGACTGTCACGAAGGAAAAATCAAAGCATATAACCGGATATCTGAATCTGATCGCCAATATCATCGACAACTTCACCCACGGATTAGCCGTTGGTGGTTCTTTCCTCGTGTCTCTCCGTTTAGGAATACTCACCACTTTCGCTATTCTCATACACGAGATACCTCACGAAGTCGGGGATTTTGCTATTTTGTTACGCAGTGGATTTAACAGATGGGATGCTGCGCGGGCGCAGCTTATCACTGCTAGCGGTGGTATTTTTGGAGCCATGTCCGCGGTGTTCTTTTCCGGTGGCGAAGTAGGTGGGTAGCATCCGTCGTTTTGTTCATAAATTATGCGTAACAATCACGGGAGACATTTCTGATTAATAATTATTTTTATTTTTAGGTGCGAAGACGAGTTGGATATTACCATTCACAGCAGGTGGCTTTCTGCACATTGGCATGGTGACCATCTTACCTGAGCTAATAAAAGAAACTAGTCCGAAGGAATCTTTGAAACAAACCGCCTCGTTACTCTTAGGTATCGTCGTGATGGTGGTTTTAACGATTTTTTGCGACTAGGATTATTTCGTTTTTCAAGTAGAATTAGGTTCAGAGTTTGCCATAAGAAAGGAAATTATTTCATTTAATACTTATTGCTCAATAGAGATGGGTCTACGTGTAGAGACAGCGGAGAAACGAGGAACGACGATTGGTAACTGATTAAAAACACAAACACGTATTATGTAACGTGTTATATTGAATCTAGTTTTGAAGGAAAATCTGTAGTTTGTTTATTTTTGCAAGATTACGGCTGAATCGTTATTTTTTCACTCGGTCTAACGCGTTTTCGAACGTCGATCTTTTGTCGTGGTAAATAGTTAATGTTTCTCTGATAGTCGAATCATAAAAACAAGACAAAAGCAGTAAAAAATAATGAGGGAGTATTTGTACGAATTACTTTTATATTTTTCGATTATTTATCGAGGAATCGTATTATTGGCATTTTTGAGATTATCGATTTATATTAATACTTTAAGAGATATTGTTAGAAACCTGATATAGTTTATACACGAATGTACGTATGTTCCTCGGTAAGATATCGGTGAACGAGTTGTTTGCGAGAGACGCCATTTTGTTTCCGAAGATGTCGACGCACTTAAAACGTTGCCTAAAAATTACATCTACGAAACCAGTATTGACGTATGACTTTCACGTTGTGAAACGAATAATCATGTATGTACATAATGTCTATGCTTCCTTGTTTATTTAAAAAAAAAAAAAACATTGTAATTGAAGCGTATTTCCGAATGCAAATATCAGTTTATTTGACATGTGCACATCGACAAATGTATATTTTAAGTTCCTACAGGTAATTGTAAATAAGACATCAAATTTATCCATTCTATAGTGGAACCAAAAAAAATATGTTAGCACCAATAAAGAAACAAAATTTATAGGTTAGGTTACCAAAAGAAAATAATAATAATTTGCAGAAACACTGTTTAAAACGTGTGTAAATTCGATCGGTAAATATAAAGCCGATATAATTATCAAACTTGCGAGGGTAAGTAAAATTGAGACATTTTAGAAATGTTGCGCGATTACGGATTAGTTGAGACAGCGGCGTGAAAGAGAGTCTATCTGTTTTCTCCCATAGGCTCATGTATCTTTTTACAAGTGCATGTTTTACAAGTCACACAAAAAACAAACATAATCCTTGTACTTAAAAGAAAACAAGGTATTCTTTCATCGTAAAAAAATACACTTGGTACATGAGCACCATTTTCAATCACATGTAAATAGAAGTCTTTAAACTTATGAAGCTGATTTAATCAGCGACTTGGCGAGTATATTTTTTATGAACTATAACTACACGAGCAGATTGTTCATATGTAATAATTATAATTTGTAAATAAAGTATGTTATTCTGTAACAATTGGTATCCTGGTATCACATTTTTACAAAATAATAAAAAGTATGAACAATACAAAATAATTTATCAAAACAATGACATCTTAAAACACAAGAAATGTAACAATTATTTACTATATAAGTATGGACAGGTAACTTAAATGCCTTACATGCTATACGTATGATTAATATACATCCATTCTTTTATAGTATGTTATTCATCCATTCGTCACGAAATCGACCTCACTCTTTAATCTATTTACAAATGACTAAGTACCGTTTCTATCAAATAACAATTATCTTTGCAGCAATTTCGTTACTCATCTAAAAAATAACAATATTGTTTATCAACTGTAGATTCGGTAACAATTTTCATAAAATATTAAGGAGGAAATGTTCCATTAGACAGAAAACTTTATACGATTATAACTTTGCGACATAAATTAAATTAGTGCACTTTCTTCCCCGCGAATGTTTCAGTTCAATTATACTCTTTTGTACCTACAATTCGTCGCGAAGTATTTCGGTAACTGTTGTTTGTAATTTTTCAATTAATAGGGTAAGATTTTTCAAAATATCACTTTCATCTTCTTTGATAGCAGGATCGGAGCTCTGATAAAAGTTTAATAAATGTTGTATAATAAGTAGTAACGTTTCTTTGTTTTTTTTAAAGTGATGATTACAGACAGGAACAACAATGATCATACTTTCGGTGATGGTCTCTAGGAAGTTATAGTTCTCGGTTTTAAACTGATTATTGAGTTCCACTTTGAAGCTTTTTATCATTAGATTGCTTAAATGCTTACAGTAACCATACGTTAATAGTTTTTGTTCGACATCCGCAGCCGCGTATGCTTTTGTTTTCAGCTGTAACTGTTCGGGATCTGTGATCTCTCGTAAATTTTGTCTCTCTGTGATCAGATCACTGATCAATTGCATTACTCTCACTTGCACTTGCAACTGATCGTCCGTTAGAATTTTCCCGAATATTTCCACGCCACCGTGATCGATCCAAACTTTTTGCGCTGCTGGAAATTGTCTGATTAAGGCACCCAGAGCAAACAGACATTTCGACTTCACCTCCAGTTTAGTACTGGTAGACAATATATGCAAAAGTTTTTCGACAAAGTCGTTTTCCAATGCTTTAAGTTGGACATTAGGATTAGACTGAACAGCTGCACCCAGAAGTCGTAACGCTTCAGCCTTTATTTCATTATTTGTTGCATTGAGACAAGGAGATATAACTTTACTCATACTGTAATTGAAAAAGTATAATAAAAATTTGTACACAAGTTTATTTAAAAAAAATTATTATTATACATACCCTTGCATATCTGTAAATACTTTAGCATGATCAATATGGTGAACTAAGTATTCCAAATTATATAGAATATTTAAAACTTCTTCCACTTCTAAAACTGTTAAAGTTCCCATAGTAATTGCATTACTATGCGTTTGAAATTTCTGTAAATAATTACTTAGTAACTCAGAGTCTAATGTAATGTTAACATCTAACATTTTGAGCTCATTTTTCAAAGTATCATAATCTCGAAACTTTTGCTTTATTTGTTGAACATGCTCATCCTGGAAATATAAATGATATAGAAACAGAAGATTTTTTTATATACCAAGAATCCTATGAAAATAAGAAATGATTACATTTAATTTTGGCGGTGTCTTTGTATCACCTTGTTTAATTTTTTTTAATCTGGCTTTTAGTTCTTCTATTGGAGAGTCAAACAAGTCAGATTTTTCAGTGGCTATAGAAGAATCATGGTCTTCTGTCACTGCCATATCAGGATGTAATGTCAACGAATTTGAAATAGAGTGACTAGAACTCTCATTAGAACTTTTTTTTTCTGCATCTTTGTTGTCCATTAATTTAACTTCTGTTACTCCAGTTCGAAAATTGTGCCTTACATGTGATCCTGCTGGTATAGGAGTACCTAAGAAAAGATGGAATATAACATTAATACATGAATCCATTAGCACCTTTAATTCAAATTCTGAATAAGTCACTGTTTTATATCATTTATGCCACGTTTTAATATATTCAGCATATTTTCAATAATAATGAATTAAAAATATTTATAACATCATTTTATACTAACAGTTATCATGCGTTTAAGTACAGAATATATAATAACAGAAAAACGGCGATCAGTTTTCGCGAAGAAATGCGACGTCAAATTTTACTGACGTGGTCTTACGGACAGCACATTAGTTGCGTAAAAAATAGTCCTAAAAACGTAAGTATACACAACGTTAAATGAACGTTCACTCACCTTTGTTTATAGATTGCCATTCTCGGGTTGGTACAAATTTAGTCTCGTTTTTTTCGTTGTTGCCCAAAATTACCGGTAACAAATATAAACAAGTTAGAATAATCATATTGGCCCGCATTCTGACGAGTTCCTGTCGTTGACCGAAGGTTACAGCTTATTTGGAGATATGTTGCCGTTTTTTTTCGGTGAAATTACTTGAATTTTATAATGTATCTATGTCAACCGTGTCGGGGCATTGCTCAATTTTTTTTATAAAACTCTTTCGTCACGCCTTTGTTCCATTAAAGTATTATTCACGTGTTGCGCCCGATATTTATGCAGTCAACAGCAGTCAATGTGTCGATGTTCGTGAGTGTCGCGAGTGGGGTTCCGTGGGGGGTACCGTGGATTGGTATAGCCATCTCCCGGTCAAAGGGACGAACTAATTTTTGAATCTTTAGCCAAAGTTTGTAGTAAAATTAGTTTCTATTCTTGATGCTAGATGGCGAGTGATCTAGTACACCAGTAGCGCCATCGATGGAAAAACGTCCAAGTTTTTCGTGAAAATAGTTCCCACCGATTCTGTAAGATGGCGCCATCGAAAGATTTTAATAAATTTTTCTTTCTTTCTTTATAAATGCATAATTAATAGGATTCCTTGGTTTATAACACTCCAATAAAGTGTTAATATATCCAATTTATCATTCTTATAATTAATTACTTAATTCAGCAGTAATTATCGATCTTTTGATTAGTGGCATCATCCAGCAGAAACAATCGGAACTATTTTCACTACAAACTTGAGCGTTTTCCCACCGATGACGCTGATTGAAAGTTTTATAGTGCTACAGAGCTACTTTGATACCATTTGTTGGTCCATGAAACGCACTCTAGGTTCTTGATGCAATGTTGTCAAGCTTCTTATTCAATTTGTGTTATTATTCATTAATATATTTTTAAATGATGACTAAACAATTATACGATGAATACAAAAAATATCTCTGAACTTTTATCTGTCAATCTTGTGTAGTGCTTGCTCACAGGTCCTTATCGTTTCTGACATTTTTAACTGTATAAATATATAAACATAACTCTTGATTGTACGTCTATTGTTTAATATTTTAAGAAATAGAAAGTAATTGTTTTCTTAGTATTTCACGATTAAATTGATTTCTTCAACAGTTTATAAAACAAAAAATTCCCTATATTGATATTAAACTGATTAACGAATATCTATTTACATTCATGTAGAAGTAATTTATATACCTAAATTTTTATTTTATTTAATGACTCTTAAAATGATTGCGTAAAAGGAATCACGAAGGACTCTGTACTGGTCACGTTTATTTTCTATTTGATTCGCTTCGTAAGTGGTGTAATGAACAGGGGTAAAAGATACCCCTCGTAAAGTACTCAATGGTGATTCTCGATATTAAAGACGGCAACGTCGCTTACAAGATCCGAGAGCGTATCGACCAATCAAAGAAGAGAACGTATTCTAGGCGCGCAAGGCCGAGTACGCGAAACTCATTTGCTACGCGTTCGTCTAGCACGTGCGACCACTGTTCTTTCGCGCAGTGACCGTTGTGCGCGCGGCGTCTTTAGCTTCTCCACTTTCGTTCGGCACGCACACTCCATCGGGTTCCGTCTACACGTCCGCTAACGAGAATCCTTTAATATCAAGTCGATCGCCATGGCAGAGGAGTATCTCTACGGTAAATATCAGAAGTCGCGATATCGTAATCGTGATGGCTGCTTTATTTTGTGCCGCACGCGGATACTTTCGTCATTGTTGGCCATTAGACGCGAGCGGTACTATGGTCGGGACGCCGGCTGGCTTTCGGCCATTGTGACGAATCCCCATTGTCCCTTGAGCTAACGAATTCGCGTTTTTTATCCAACTATAATGCAACGGCAAGCATTTATTATATTTCGTGTGCGTACTCTTGTGATTTGTGTGTCCAGGAATCACTCTCGAAGGACCCAATTGCAGCGAGGTATGGGATCCGGAGCACAAGAATGATGACGCAGACGGCACGAACCAACATTTCGGAGCCGATCAGAAGCTTATTATAAAAATGGTAAGTCGAAGATATCGAGGAGAAACATCAAGTTGCTTTGTACTTTGTCGTTTTTCGACGCGCCCCAGGCATCGAATTTCACGTACTCTTTTGTTACGAGAGGCGGATTCACGTTAACGCGCGATTTCATCGGTAACGGTCTTTCCATTCGATCCAAGACATAAACGTTTTGCTACGCTGTTGCTACGGATTCTCTGATTTTCCGAACAGTTTACCGTACCTTTGTTATTGTATAAGAATAGACGACAAATAGTTGGCGTCACTGGTAATCTCGATTTTTTTGTCCGCTATCATCAACACTTCATAGATTTGCGCGCGAATGTTTAACTGCTATATAAAAGTAACGAATTGGAGATTATCGTAACCTTTAACTTTTTAATTTCGCTAATTGATCTAACCCTATTCAATCTTTGAATCTTCGAGAAAACAAAAACATGTTCCATCAAAGTTAAGAACGTCTGTATACACATCGATAACGCATTGTATTCCGATTTTGTGTAATTATTAGAACGTTTACAAATTTATATAAATTGAATGCGTTTGTTACAACGTCTTATCAAATAGATACTTTTAGTGCTACTTCTGTTTTGTAAGCTGCAGAAATTTTATGCATAAGTGTAATTAAATATAATGTCTAGGAATGAACTTAAATAAAGTGAACAATTTATGATGTTCAACTATTTACTTTAATAATTATATGCATATACATTTTACAGAAGATTTAATATAATAGTTTATTTGTTGATAGAAATATCTAGTTTCAACTGTTTTACAAGTGTCAATTTTTTATAGGCACTTTTAGGTCCAGAGGCTAAACCTGGGGAGCTTAACGTACTACAGGTAGAAGCAATGGGGTTAAAGGGACCAATTAAAACACCAATCGCTCTGTTGGAAATGGGAAAGACAGCACAGATTATTCTGGATCTCAGTTTTCCCGACCCTCCTGTTACGTTCACTTTGGTTAAAGGCAGTGGTCCTGTTCACATAGTAGGGCACAATCTTCTTGGTAAGAACTTATTATATTATACATTACCATTAACTTATTTATATGAATGAGAGATAGTGTAATCAGAAATATTGCTAACATTTTATTCTACTTTGTAACAATTACTAAGCATGTTAATTTAATAACATTCTTTTTTACTTAAAGTATTAAATTATATCGCGAATAACGATTGTTCGGAAAAGGGCGATAATTACAGCTGGGCGCCTTTTAACATAATTTACAATAGATTACAATCAATTTTTGTACAAGTTTAAAATGCAATTGTAAAAGAACTTTGATACACGAGACGTTTTCAAAAAATACATATCATACTTCCATTATCTTGGATTATATACAAAGCATTTGATTCTCCCATTCGATACACTTTCATATGTTTATGTGTTAACGCATTTTAATGATTAAAAATGTGATTATGAGATAATTACTCGTTGACAGAATTAGTCCATAATGTTTTCAAATTATTTACGTAATATATTTTCTTAGGAAAATCGCAACATATTGTAACGTACAATTAGTGATTTCATATTAACTTTAATATTTTAGGGACACACATGGAAGAGTTCGACGATATGGACGATGAAATGGAAGAAGAGAACATCGACGACGATGACGATGATAAGGTATAAGCTACTTTTTAATTACTTGGAATAAGTTTAATAGTTGCATGCAATTTTGTACATGTACATATTAAAAGTTCGTTAAAACTGAGGAAAAGATTGTATTCCTAACTGACATTCTGATTACGTTATACAAAAAAAGCATGTAAGACTTCAAACAAAAGAATTATGCAGAATATTTTCGATGAAAATTATCTCCAGACATACAAGTAGTCTCATTTCAAACAAATAATTCTTATTACACTTTTATTATGTATGTTGTCGGAAGCAATAGTATTACATTTTCTATATACAAGGAATACGAATTTCAGGCACTGCAAAAGAAACGAAAGCATTCTGCAGAGGGTAAAAAAAATGGTACGAAGCGTGCCAGGATGGATGAAGCTGTAGACAAATAGAATGTTAATATTAAAATGCTACTATTTAAACGTTCCCCAAAAATGAGTTTTACCGAGAATATTTTAAACTCGCGTTATTTTAATATGATTTAGGGAGGGAGGGCTCTGAAGATTCCCTAAGGAATAAATGAAAGTCGTGGATATACTTTCTGCGTTTGTGTTCTCATTCCATGTGTCTGTTTGGTTTTTTTTGCATAATAAATCATCCCATTTTGAAACAGTTGCTTTTATTCTTTACTCATCTTGTTTCCTCTTTTTCCATTTCTGTCTTTGAACAGTACTTTCAAGATTACAGGAAGGGAGTTACGTTAGAATGTCAGTAATACAATCTTTGGCGGTAAATAAAATAATAGTTCAGTTTTTATAGTTACATTTCTATTTATTTCAATATGTTAGGAACCAGACGACGAGGAAGATGATGAAGATGAACCCAAGAAGAAGAATGCCAAATTAACAACTGCAGCCAAATACAAAAATCAAGCTAATAAGAACAAGAAAAAATAAGCACGAGCCTTAATACTATGGAAACACAAAAAACTTTTAAGTTAGGCTAATAAGCGTAAGTCCATCATTATCATCCGCATTTGCGCGAATTTAGTATCGTTTCATCAGATTATCAGACGACATATGTTGCCTTTCACGTTTTTACGACACAACTGGACCAATGAACCACTATAGGATGTTAAGCTTGTATAGTTTGAATGAAATATCGTTTTATTGATTCGTGGACAATACGTTACAATCGATTGACATAATATTATATTTAACATAAAAGATAAGCAATACTTTGAGTTGACTTTAAATGTATTAACAAGGTCTGTTTATGTGTACATTTTTCGAAATGCCTTAGAGGAATGACCCTTAAATCGTATTAGCTAAACTCTACGGGATATTAAGAATGTGAATCGAAAATTATTTTTTTGACAAAATTTTATGGAGCTGAAAGGTCAGAGGGTATTCTTCCGAGAGCTGTTCGTACAGAAGAATTTGTTTTATTTTACGCGAACACAGTTTTTAAATGCGAAGAATTGTTCGGACCAGTTGTTGTCGGTAAAACCAGCGGAAAGTGCGGACGGATCTACAATGTGGTGTATTCGTATTATTTCCTTTTTGTCTTCTCCGATGCCGTGGTTCACACATCGACACTTCCAGTGATATACGAAGGTACACTATTCTAATGTAGTTATGTAAACACGATTCAAGAAACGAATTACTATGCTCCTTAAAGAAAATAATTGCGAAGATAACGTTCCAGTGTAATTTATTATTTTCGTGTGTACAAGATGGGGAAAAGGGTAATAGTCACGGAAACCCTTATACCAGAATGTTATTAATGACTAAAGACGGGAGGAAATGATAAGATCAGAATAAAATAAAAAAAAAAAAAAAACATTTACGCGTCATCTCGATATTCATTCCATTTGATGAAAGATTACAGAAGACGGGGTTGCAGGTGTACTACACAATATGATGCTCGTACATCAATGTTATATGCAATGAAAGCATATGTAAAGCGTGTATAAAACGCGCTCATGCGATTGATAAGTAGTCTGTACACCTATTTTGTACATATACGATACAATAAAAAATTTCACAACTTTTAATCAGTATCGCACGACGTAGTGGTTATTCGAACATCCTTCCCTAATTCCCTTCCTGAAGTATCGTTTGCTATGTTATTTTATTCAATAAAAAAACTTGTATTTAAAAAGTTTAAGGGTAAGAAATATCGTGACATTTGGACGTTCGTCATTTGTCGAAGTAATTGGACACGTCTAATAATTTAGTGAAAATGATTTTTTGTCATTATGTGATCGCCAGAAATTGCTCGTTTATACGGTTCTCGAGGAAATAACTAAGAACAATGTCAATGACTTTAAATGTGTAAAAAGTATACATATCCTGTATCCTATAACAAGGACTCTGAAACTGTCTACGAATAAATTGAACCTAAAAAGTTTATAAATTAGTTTAGTACATAACTCTTGTAAATTAAGGTAAGCTTTCGTTATTACTAAAGTTAACTATATAACAGTGGACGTTAAAAAATATTTTACGATTCATCTTCAGACTCCTCGTCGGTTGAACGTAATATTCGTTATTATGACATGCAGAATATCAGTTCAAGAAGTAGCTTTAATAAAAGTACAGATGCGAATGTTTTTTGTATAAATACACAATGTCAAATTGCTAACGAAGAATTAGTCGATTTACGCCAACAGGTATAGATAATGCGAGCTATCGTTTATCGCTAATAAACTAATCAAAGTTTACCTATGTTTGAAAGGTGAGTAACTTGCAAGAAACGGTCGTATCATTAGAAAACACCATACATATAAAGGATGGGCAATTGCAAAATATGCAACGAGATAACGAGAGATTATCGACCGAGCTAAAGAAGCAACAAAGATGCATCAGGAACATCAAACGTAAGATTTGTTGAAAGTCTTGTTTTAAGTTTATTGTAACCCTTAAATGTACCGAATTAATTTCAGAGCAGTTGGACGACGAAAGGTTTTTCTATCAAAGAGAAAAAGATTATTACAACGATGAATTACAGCGGCAGAAAACACGTTGCGTCACTGGAACGTCGCGACTGCAACAACAACAAAAGGAATTGGAAGATGCACGAAATTCCTTGGAAGAAGAAAACAAGTCGTTACGGGAAGAGTTAAACGTAAAAGCTGAGACAACGTACAATTTGTGTATAAAGTTTTTAAGAATGAAGTACGCGAAAGATTCGTTGAGAGAAAAACTAAATCAGCTGTTGAACGAGCACCTGCAAGTAATGGCAGACATGATGGAAAAGCTAGACGAGGGTAGAGGAGAACTTAACATTATCGTATCCGAAAAATTTCAAGAACCCCTGCCTTTAAGCAAAGCAAAATTCTTACGGGTAAATCTCGTTCGTAAATTAACATCGTTTGGTTATCGATCATTTTTATAATCGTCGCAAAATAAATAAATCGTTTATCGTCTCGAACATTAGGTGGTGCAAAGAAATGCACGACTAGTTCACGAGAACGCGATGCTCAAAGTCCAAATACAGCATCTCACTCTAAATATAGAAAAATTGAAGTGTTACTCACAGAAACCAAAATTAATTAACGTGGATGCTAAAATCATCGCCAAATTGGCCGCGCATAGTGGGAAGAAGTATAGGAAGGAATCCACGAGATGGCTGCCGCTCCGGTAAGAAAATGATTCGGTTCGTCTCGGACACTTTTTCAAAATTCTAATAAAACTTGATCGAAATCACCGATCGTTTATCGTCAGGTCGAACGAAGACGAGACCGAGAAGACTGCGCCAGTCGATAAACTTCCGAATTATCAAGATCCCGTCGATTATTCTGGTGACGCGAAATTAATATCAAAAATTCAATCGAGCAACTCGAGAAAACAGGTAAATACCGCGGTACGAGAAATTCAGACTGAAGAAACTAACGAATTCCGAAAGGAACGTGCGCATAGCGCCCCGGAAATCTTTCGGACGAAAGCTCAACCAAGTGGCTCGACGATTTTTCAAACAGATTCTTTTGTCGGCTCTCGCGATGCTTCCACGAATACGTAACAAACAAATTGATTTAAAACGCTTTTGTACAAATGTAAATGCTCATATCTTTTTATATTTGTTATTTTTGTTAAAAAAAATGTACCGTCTGCGGAGTGTTGGAACCTGATGTATCGATTGAAGTGCTATCAAAGTAAACCGTTTCTCGTGCGTTGCGCTAGAGGGCGCGTTAGTCGTGAAATTTGTAATTGTTAGTAGTATGGTGGTATGGTGGTTTGATATTTCAACGTGTATCAATTTAATGTAATTTATTTGCGAAAATATGAAAAGATGACTCCAAAGGACGAAACACCAGGCGAAGATGGCAGCAACGAATACAGATATGTAGGCGAAATAATATTTAGAATACCTTACTCGAGTAACTTTCATCGTTGTTTATGTAGTTGTCATTGTCGCGAAATGGCGAGTTATCTCTTAGTTTCTTTATTTATTTTCAGTTGATCAGTTCAATGTTTCGTCTGTATATAAATGTTTCAAACCGCTGCTTCGGATAGCATTGCGACGTATTAGTCTCCGGAAGTTTGTTAAATCCATGAAGACTGTACAAGGAGTCCTAACTGTGTAGTGTACAAGTGTATCAAAATCCCGAGCTTGGAATTATGAATATTTCTACCACTCGCGGCGCAAGTGAGCACAGACTACGATATATGTCATATGTGTATATATTATCATACATATATGACATGTATATATCGTAGTCCGTGCGCATAATATATATACATATGACATACATATACAATATCGTAGTCTGTGCGCCCTCGCGCCGCGAATGAACGAAATATTCATCACTTCAAGATCAGGATTTTGCTAACAGTTTTTTAGTAACTTTCTTAGGGAGTTGGATCTTCTTATACAGTCTTCATGGTTAAACGAGATAAGTAGGATTTAATCGAAAGAAATTCGCGGTAATCCGAATTACGATATTCGCATTAAAGTAAAGGCCGGTGTAACAAAACAGTAGGGCTTCGATACTTGTAAATGTCATTACGACAGAGCGGCCGTGATTACGTTAGAACGACGAGACCGCGGTGCAAGGGTGTGGGTAGAACGATGGCTCGAAGAAGAGCCAAGTGTTTTCGTCTCGTTTCCTCCTGATGGTTCTCGTGCGCCGCGGAGCCGGTTCGAGGCGAAGCCGGGTTTTAACGATCGGTCATTAAGTCGCGAAGAAAATTGAGACGTCCACCTCTCGGTGAGCTCATACCCAATTGAGTAGCGGCCTTAATACCCCTTATGTATTATCCGGTAGGCGAAGCACCTTGTTAAACGGATCCGCCATTTCTTCTTCTCACTTCGTGTTTTTTTCCACGGGGATCATACGCGATCGAAAACTCGACGCTACCGTAACAATTCTCCTTTCCACTTCGTTGTTTTTTTTTCTCTCTTTTTTCTCCCTCTTTTTTTCCCCCTTCGCCTGGAGCACGTTTGCAGATTTTTTAGGCCCCCGATGGACCTACTGTTACTATTTTCTAGAAGATCGACGCGGAATCGAACGTCTCTACTTTCGAATGTTCCTAGACGCGGGCCAGAACGTTTCGTCGAATGTCAGGAGAATCTTGTATACCTGGTCCGTGGGTGACACGCGTTTGATCGTCACGTGACGTATATTTTCTCCGATGTGTCGGATCTTTGAGTAATGGGCTCGGGGTATATAACCGTCGATCCTGATCGCGGATCCTGATTGCAGGCATTAGTGCGCGCGCCGGTTATCGACCATCGGACGTCATGTATGGTGCGAACTCGGCATAAATACGCCAGGAAAGACACCCGCGCCGGTAGATCCGCCAAGGATTTCGATACACGTCGATCGATATAGCTCCCAATAAGCGAACACCCCCCCGCCCCCAGCTTCCATTATATCAACGCTTTCCGGTTTATTCAGCTCGTGGAAAAATACGACTCCCGAACATATCGTATCGCGCTGGTCGCTTGAACCTCACGCACGGGTCGCGATCGTTCTTTTTTCCCGATCGATCGTGTCGCGAAATGCATATATCGGTTTTCTAACCTGAGGAAACAAAATGACAATCGAGTTTAACGCACGGCTCGACGAGCAACGAATTCAGAAGCGTAAAAGATTCTCGCGAGCGAGGCGCATTAGCGAGAGGGCATCCGTTATCGACGATCGGGCGCCGTGGAACAGGGTAGAACCGGTATAAATATGCCGTCAAAGGACAAGTAAGATGACAGCTGCCGTACATACGTAATATTTCATCGCTAACAAGCGGACAACGCGCGACGCGGGCCCGGTTATGCCATCCATTGTCGAAGATTACATCGTTATTTCATTGTTTTACCGGTCGATTCAAATTCGCTTTTTACTCGCCGACTCGTGCAGCGCACATGAATCAATATGTTCCGTAATAATCGAGTTATCGCGGGATGCAACGTTTTCCTTCGGCGAAAGGGATAAAGGAACAGGCGACGCGCGAACGACTTTGTTCTCCGTCTCAGGAACGTCCCGGAATGCGTCTGTTTTCACGGAAGCCTCTACTTGGACATTTATTTACTTCCAATCCACTCGGGATATCGTAAACACACGATAATACGTCGCGTCGGTTCGTAAAATCCAGGCAGTTTCCTAGCGAGACGAGGAAGGAGTCGCTCAATTTTCTGCGAACTGCCGCGAGTCGAAATTAATTAGGTCCTTCGCAGGAAGAGCTCGGTTCGAAGGATATCGAGCACCGAAGGGTGGCGGGGACGAGGCCAATCGTGCGCCTTCATTGCCTTCGACGCGTTTCAAGCCGTGAGCGTTAATTGGCCGGACCAATTAATTCCAACAAGTTCGCTCGGTGCGATTAGTGCGCGTACGTGGTGGTGCGGTGTGATGTGCGCGCATACACGTTGTCCTCTCTCCTTCTGTGCTCTGCTCTGCTCTGCGGTAACAAGCAAAGTCTGTGGACGCCGATCTGCCCCCGGAAAACGAAGAACCTGTTCCACACGCGGTGGAGGTTTCTCGCATTCTCGGCTGCTCCCGCGACACCAGATACCGTCGTTGTTCCTCCGTGGCTACGGCGAACAGGAATCGAAGGCAATAACGAAAACACAAATTACGGGAGCACCGCGAGCCGATCGTCTCGGGACGATAATCTACTCGGGGTTCCCGGTGGTCGACGAGAGATTATTAGATCCGTCCCGCGACGAGACCGATCCCGTCGCGTCGTCCGCGCGGTTCTTTTTTCGTTCTCGAATCCACGACGACTTCGATAATCAGGATTAACGTCGTTTGCTCGTGTCTCGACGATCCTACCCGGATTCGTGTACTTTCTCGCGGTTTTTCACTAAAGAATATCCAATTTTCGTCGGCTCGCTCGACCGTATTCGAAAGTTTATCGCGATGTCGGTCTACTCGCCTCCCGGCTATCGGTGGTGATCTCGATGCTCGCTGATAAAATATCTTGGTCGTCGTCCTCGTTTGGCCGAGGCACTCGCGTCGTTCTGTCCGAGACTTGATTGGTGCATTAAATACGCGAACGTATGCGTAGCGGACTCGGGATCGTGAAAGACGGCGGGCGTAAACTTCAAGGGTATACCGTGTGTGCTTTATAGGTCCGGAACATATCCATGGGAAGGTAATTCCATCCGAATAATTATCGCCGTTAGAGAAATTTTTGTTTCCGTGTCGAAAAATTAAGATACACTCTAATGCCCGTCATAAGCCTGCCCCTAACGAGTCTCTTACCCTCGATTAGATAGTTGCTGATTCGAAATGTCTTCCTCTACTTAATCATTCTCTTACGTTTTGTGCCAGACTACTCCGTATAAGCCTACTGCGCTAAAACTGTAAAAATTATAAACCAGGCTTATAATGGGTACTTCGTCTGTAGACGACGTCGAAAAATCAACGTATCATGGTATCCGATGAATACTTTGTCGTTCGAGGAGGTACGAATAGCATTGTCGAGAGGGTGAAATAATATCGCCAAATCAAGGAAAGATCGATCACGATTCGCGTTGAAAAGAGGCTGTCGGAAACGGTCGTGTATCGTGAATTTATCCGAGGTAACAGCCGCCGTTCAAAATTAGACTCGGGGCGCGTGTATACCTTACGTCCGGAAAGTCCACCTATGAGTCTAAAAGGTCCAGCGGAGAGGTACGGTGGAAGAGAAGGTAAGCCGGAGGTTGATTTATCGGCCAATTAGTCCACCGTACCGGGTGCGCTTCTCTGGTGTGTCTCACCTTCCAGATGATATCCCGGCAAAGACCGGCACATGGGTTAAAACCTCGCCGGAGAGTCGGAAAGAAAGACAGACGGAGAAAGAGAGAGGAGTGCAGTGCCGTAACTATGCGATCCTTCAAAATGAAATCTTCTTCGAACAAGGAACCCCTTCTCGAATTCTTCGACGACGAGTCGAAATTAAATCGTAACCTACGTTAACGGGGTCGTGTTATAATTGGTTAAATAGGTGGAAACATATTTTAAGCGTTTCTGCTGTAACGTGAATTTCGAAACGTTGATTTAGTAAGTTGACAATTGCGTGAACCGGTTTATCGCAAAGTTTCCTATTCGGCTAGGACGATGAACGATCACGGAATGGCATGACCGCAAAGGCGGGACAATGGTAATCGCGAATGGTCCGGCGAAAAACAGATGGTGTGCACCCTGAAGATGCATCGTGGGAACGACGATATTTGTTTGACACGAGATACGAGATGTTCCCTTTTTTTTTTCTTCCTCACTTTAGTCGCTTACAACGATTCCATTAGACCACGAATCTATCCTAATCTACGGTCTGCGGTTAACGGTGTACGTACAAGCATCCGTTGGAATCGCGTCGCGAGCCTCCGTCGCCGTCGTCCCCGGGCTGTCTCGCGGTGGCGTTTGTCACCGTTGGAGTCGTTTAGCGTATACCATCGTCGAAAATAGACGGCTGGCTGCCCTCCTCTCCGAGCGTTCCCAGAAAAATGCCCGACCCTCGAAGAAACAAAATTAAAAAGCGCTTCGTGGGCAGCGATCTCGCGCTACCAGCCGATGCGCGCGAACGCGTGTAATCGAGAGTCCGCG